AAAAAAAATTCAGAAAATGCCATGTGAAATGGCTGGTATTTTCTGTTTTTCCTGCCTTGGGTGTCTGCTGGAACACACGCAGCTTGGGCTAGTTGGGGGGAGAATGGAGCATCCTGGGCAGAATTCAAAATGGCTACCTTAAAAGGGCAATGCCTGCTCTGCTCTTAAAAGGGCAACTTTTTGGGGGGAAGGGGTCAACAACTTTCCCCCTGGAGTACCATCACCTTTTTTATTTATTTATTTATTTTATATATTATATATATATAAAAAAAAACACAAACACAGTGGTCCTGGGAATTAGTTCCTTCTCCCCCCCTCCCCCCCACACACAAATTTTGCTGCTATTTTTTTGCCGCGGGGACCGGGAAGAGGGAGAGGACGTAAGGGTTTCTCAAAAATCAAAAAGGGCGTGATGCCGAAAAGTTTGGGAACCACTGGTTTAGACCATCTCTGACAGATGTCTATCTAACCTGCTCTTAAATATCTCCAGAGATAGCGAGTCCACAACCTCCCTAGGCAATTTATTCCAGTGTTTAACCACCCTGACAGTTAGGAAGTTTTTCCTAATGTCCAACCTAAGCCTCCCTTGCTGCAGTTTAAGCCCATTGCTTCTTATCCTATCCTCAGAGGCCAAGGAGAACAATTTTTCTCCCTCCTCCTCGTGACACCCTTTTAGATACTGAAAACCGCTATCATGTCCCCTCTCAGTTTTCTCCTTTCCAAAGTAAACAAGCCCAATCCTTTCAGTCTTTCCTCATAGGTCACATTCCCTAGACTCTTAATCATGCTTGTTGCTCTTCTCTGGACCTTCTCCAATTTCTCCACGTCTTTCTTGAAATGTGGTGCCCAGAACTGGACACAATACTCCAACTGATGCTTAATCAGCTCAGCGTAGAGTAGAAGAATGTCTTTTCGTGTCTCATAGTGGCTGATGTGGTTGAGTCCAGTGATGAAATCACTTGTGTAGGCAGAGTTGGCACCAGAGCTGATTGCAGGGGTGGGTTCCTGGATGATAATGATGGAGGTGTGTTGCATGGT